GGGTATGCAGTTTCCCGGAAAGGATGGTCATATAGAGGTTTGATAGGGCAAAGACATAAATGGTGACCTCCTCCACAGAAGGAACAAATGTTATCCTTAAAACATTCAGATATTTCCTTAGGCATTTTAGTTTGAAGAATAAATTCAAGAATGGAGTCTGGTTTTACGCTTACCCAAGGGTATTGTGATGAAGGATAGTAAGAATCAGAATGAAAAGGTTGCGTGATTGGAGTGTATGGATAAGAAGGCTGAATATTTTGTGGCGTAGGAGAGTAATGTTGATGAGGCGTGTAAAGTTCAGGAGAAGTGTAAGGAGGGCATGGTGCAAATGGTGAATATTCCGTGGAGGTTTGAGGGTAAGGTGTTCCTCTGTAAATCGAGCTGAATGAGTTCATCTCATCCTCTTAAGAACAAGTACCTGAAAGGTTAGCACAAAAAAAATCCTACGGGAAACAAAAAGAAAATTAACTAAAAAAAATCTCGCTGAAATTAATTAACCCTTAAAACCAACACCGTCCCCGGCAACGGCGCCAAAAACTGATGTGAGTTTTCTCGCACTTAAATTAATAGTAGAATAGTGGTGAAAGTACGAGTATCGTCTCCACATGGACGGACAAAAGGGAATTAAACATTAACTAAATTCAACGATTAAAAATAAAATAAAATAAATGCGTCGTGCGAGATTGATTGGTTGAATGGAAATTAAACCAATGTGAATGAACAAAAAAAATAAAGATTTGGGTTCTTCTTGATTAACGACGAATGGAACAGGGATTGATTCCGGGGTAATCAGATTTCTGGCAGATCAGGCCTAACTACATGATTTAAATTTAATTGAGCCTAGCTAATCAATACTAAGTTCTTACCGCTCTTGCGGCGTAGAATACAATAATTTAGGGGAGCAGGCTGATCTCTCATGCGACAGGATCCTAAATTATTGCCAAGACGAACGAGCTTACGGCCCCTTAATCGCTACTAATCTCTTAGCGAACGATTAAGTGTGCGTGAATGTGTCCTAGAATAAATTAGACCTCTCTTAATTTATTCTATGTGCAATTGTAATTCTAGTGGTCATTCTAGGTTACAAAAGATATCAATTAAATTGTTCAAACACAAATTAAACGACATTCATGCAATTAAACCATCAAGAAACTAGCCATACATCATGATAACCCCCTTCATCAATCCCAAATCCCTAATTAAAACTACTCCCGACTCATAATTGAAGAATCAATAGAATTGGGAAAAATAGAAATAATTGTCATTAATAAAAAAGTAGAAACTTACAAAGAATCTTAAAGAGTTGAAGAAACCAGACTGAAAAGCTCTCTTAATTCGTTTTTAAGCTCTCTCTAAGTCTCCATCCCCTCATAATTAGGATTAGGGGGTGTTATTTATAGGAAACAAAGCAATTTGGGCTGATTTAGGACTAAAACGGGGTACGCACGGCGCCCACGCACGCGTGCGTGGCGTCCGTGCGTCCGACAGACTTGCGCGTAAAAACGTTGGACGCACGCGTGCGTGCCTCCCACGCACGCGTGCCTCCCACGCACGCGTGCGTGTCTTCCAGTGAGTTTTCCGGCTTCTCTATTCCGAATTTGACAAACACTCACTTCATGAAAGTTGTATATAGTGAAGTCTTCTATCCACCACAACTTGCAAAACTGGATTTGGATCATCCCATCAAACGATATGAATAAAATGGTGGAAGGTCGCATTCTGAAATCGCAACAGCGATTGTCTGACTTCATCGTCTGTTTTCACCTTCTTCCTCTCATATTCTCGCAATGGTGTTTTCATATGATTTGTATCACTCGAAGTTGGATTTCATATGAAACTTGAATAGTGTTCTTTGGATGTTTCTACAAAGAGATATGCATGAATGATTGACAGAAAGTCATCCTGATCGCCGATTTCAAGCTCTATTTGTCTTCTTTTGATCCCGTAGCCAATCCTAGAGCTCTTTTGTCATCAAATCTTCATTGTGACCCCCAAAGCTCTCAATTCACTCTCGAATGCTTCTCGAATCATCCTGATTTCTCCTCAAGCGCCGGTGCCGGACTCTAAGTTCCTGATTTTGACTCCAAATAACACAAAACTCGAACCAACGCCTGGTACACATAACTTGAGCTAAAATTGAGATTTGTGATACCTAAAAGTTGGGGAAAACGTCAAAAAAACCGATCCCAACACGCATCAAATACGTGTTGTAATACGAACTTATCAAGGGACAAGTGATGGGATGGGAGGGGGACTGGTCGGGTAAGCTGGGAGTGGCATGGGATGGGACAGGTATTAGGGGGGCTGGTTGGGAGTCGGATGTTTTACCATCCTTGCCATTTTGATCATTCTCCCTATTTGTATGTATCTTAGAAGTTGAGGCAATTAGTTTCTTCAGAGGAGTAGGATGCATTGGGCCTTTCCCTTTTCGCAGTCTACTCTCATGGTCTTTACCATTTTCGTGAGTAAAAGTTTATGCTTCCGCTGCAATTTGAACTCTTTTGAATTAAATATTTTTGGGAAATTCTTGCTATACTTGCTATAATTAGCATCTATATTGGGTATAAATTTGGGGATGTTACAATTAACTCCTCCCATTTGTTAGCAAATGGGAGCTTGCCATCCGCCGAAGTTACCCACACCCATTTATACCTTCAATTCTTAAAGGAATCGGGGTAAGACTTTGTAGCAAATAGGTGATGGCCTACCCTCTGGGAAATGGAGAAGAATCCTTGGCTCTCAGAGGCATTAGACCGAACCGAGTGGAAGAATGTCAAGAACAAATCTAGGGTTAGCCTAATTTTGAGGAAGAGGCATCGGGCTATGAACCCAGCAATGAACAAGAGAGTGATGGGGGTGAGTTGACCAGGGATGAGCCCGTAATGAACCATAATGTTCAGAAGAGCAGGGTGGAGGGGAAAGCGAAGACTCATTTCAAGACCGGACAGGTGAACACCAAAATGAAGAGAAGAAGGGGGCTCGACGATGTACTGCCTTGGAGTAGGACGAGAACAGATGACACTAGGCCCGACAAGAGCCACCGCCTCATTAAACTCAGAGTCGGAAAGAGCGGCGGCCAGTACCTTGCTGGCAAAATTGGCAGAGAGGTAGAAGTGAGTTTCTACCCCCGAAAATCCACCGGGATTTTGGGCCGGTTTGAACTGGCCCTGTTGTCGGGGAAAACAGTATGAAGGGGAACGAAACTGGAAGAAAACATGGATGAACTGACTTGAGAAGAAAGGTTGAAACGGTGAAGGAAGATTTTCTCGCTTAGGGTTCATAGAACGGAGACTCTCAGAGGAACATAAGGTTTACACGAAGGAGAAAATGTCCCTTTTATAGTTAGGATTCCAACGCCCTTCGAACCGCTACCAAGGCACTCAAGTGCTAAAGATGGGAAGGCAGAGTGGGAAGTTGTGAAGCCAGACACGTGTCAGCCACATTTAATGCGAAACAGCGCCACAAATGGAAGGGGGGAATTCAAAATTCAAACCTCGATACTCTCCTAAAATCAAGCCCAACTTATTTTAGAGAGTAGGGGGCTCGTGATGGTACCATGGATCACAACCATGGCCCAATAACAAATTGTAATGAAGTCACCAACGGGATATCCCATTAATCGGGATTAATAATTAATAATAGTCACTGTGTTAAGGACCTAACCCATACTAAGCCCATACCAGTGCCATAAGCTCAAGTGTATAACTCACTACCAAAAGACCAGCCGATTAGGAGGAGAAAACACCTTGCTTATAAGTCACCGGCCAAGCCCATACTTGACCGATGTGGGATCTTTACAATACCCCACACTTTGAAAAGCCAACGTCCTCATTGATCACGACTGGCACCCCAAGACCCAAGCCACCACTCCATAGGCCACCACTCCGAGTGTCGGGAGAAGGAAGATGGGGATGGCTCTGATACTTATTGTTACGGACCTAGCCCATACTAAATCCATACCAGTGCCATAAGCCCAGGTGTAGAACTCATTCCCAAAAGACAAGCCGATTAGGAGGAGGGAACACCTTGCTTATAAGTCATCGGCCAAGCTCATACTTGGCCGGTGTGGGATCTTTACACGTTGGGCCTAACTAGGATCCTAACCCGCGAAAGGAACCCACAATCAGGCCAGACTGGACAACAGACCTCGAGCTTGGGCGGAATTCTAGCGAGGTCGGACTCATCCTAGGGCTTATGTGGAAGGTTATTATTCGAGCATAGCTATGTGGCAGCGGCAGAAAGAAACGTGGACCTAGAGGGACAATGATTGCACAACGTTCGAGACGTTACATGACTCTTATTATAATTAAAAACATTAAATATATCAGTTTCCTCTTAAAATACTAGAACCTAAGGTCAACAAACATTTCATGCACACATCCTACCAAGGATTCGAATTTCGGAATAATAATAGTGCCTTACGCTGCCTAAATTTCATCTACTGCCTTACGCTGCCTAAATTTCATCTGCTCTTGTAGATTAGCTCTCGTAATTGAAATTTAACTCCATCATTTAAAAATACTCCCTCCGTTTCTAAAAGAAACTCACACTTTCCTTTTTGAGATGTTTCAAAGACAAAGTCACACTTCCCTTATTTCCTTATTTGGCAAAGAAATCTACATCCAAACAATGTCTAAACAGTGTTTTCTACAGTAAAGTCAATTTATTTCCTTAATAATCGTGAAGTCAAACCGTGACTTTCCTTTGAAAACGGAGGGAGTATTAGATTAGCTACTCGAATATTTGTATTATTTTAAAATGTGTAAAAATAACGGAATAAGATGTTACATTTGCCCTATTGTCAATGTAAACGACATCAATAAAAGGAAGGATTCGATTTATATAGATTAAATGTATTAAAAATTAAAATGAGAGATTTAATCATTCCAGAATTGATATAATGATGATAATAATTTAAGCACCTCATATACTCTCTAAAAAAATTATTACCAATAAAAAAGACTATAGTGCCTTCAAGAGTCAAGACTCAACTACCCCGCAGCCAACCGTGTAGGCCCATGCCGTTTCCTGCTTTCGCACTCCCTCTCCCAACTACCAAAACCTTGCTTGGACTTTATAAAACCACGGCCTCTTTCTCCCCTTCATCACCTCATTCAGCAGCTCCTCCCGCCTGGCGAGATTTCGGGATCCAATAACCCGCCGGCGACACACGCCGTATCGTAGAACACATTTGGGTCACCCGAAGCAATGGCTCTTGCATACGGCACGGCCACGTCTCTTCTCCCACACAAAGTCCTTCCCCAAACCCAGAAACAACCAATTTCACATTTCTACCAGCATGGGTTTTCCGCCAGCCCTGTCAGATCCATTCAATCCATCTCCGCCGTCCATTCTGCTGACCATTCCAAGTCTACCTCTAAACCTACCCCACCTTCCGCCACCTCTACGTCCGCCGCGTCTGCGCAAACTCGGGTGGCCTCCAAGCCCGAGGCTGGCGCGAACAAATGGGCAGTTGACAGCTGGAAATCCAAGAAGGCCCTTCAGCTCCCTGATTACCCGGATCAGGCTGAGCTTGAATCGGTGCTGTCCACTATTGAGTCTTTCCCGCCTATCGTGTTTGCTGGAGAGGCGCGCAGCTTGGAGGAGAAGCTTGGAGAGGCCGCGATGGGTAGGGCGTTCTTGCTACAAGGTGGAGACTGTGCGGAGAGTTTCAAAGAGTTCAATGCTGTTAACATTAGGGACACTTTCAGAATCCTCCTTCAAATGGGAGTTGTTCTTATGTTCGGAGGCCAAATGCCTGTCGTCAGGGTTAGTATTCTTATCACTTGCCAAAAGCTGAGGTCCGCTAATGAATCTGGTTATTCAACTACTTGTTTTATTACTTCTGCCTGAAAAGGAACATTTATTTTGTAAATTACATTATAGAACGTGCTGTATGTTGGTTATTTCCTTGCATTCGTTATGCAATTGTTAAGCCATCATATAAAAACACTAACTCACATAAGGTATTGTAGTACTCATCAGTTTGACCTTTATGATAAACTTGACACAGTGCGGTTGGGGAGAATAAGTCCCTATCTTCTAGTTTTGTAGTATTTAAAAAGTATTTAAAAGTTTCTAAGTGTGTTTGACATCTGAGAAAACATCCGAGAAAAGTCGGTAACTTTTAGCATTAATTAGTCTCAACAGTTTGTATACCAAACAGGACTAAATAAACAACCAACTTTTTATCAAAAGGCTACTACCATTCTTTTAATATCTTTTCAGTCACTTAAAAGCTAACATTTATTAAAAAGCTCATAAAAGTATCTTTTCATCTAGTCATACCCATAACATCCTAGCCAATGAAGATCAAATTTCAACTCAATCTGGTTTAAAAACTTAAAAGAGAGCACACACATTCGAAGATATTCCACTTCAATGAGCCAACCTGCTGGTTGTTTCAATTCACCACTTACCCGTCAAATATAGAGATATTAACCAAAACTTCAATGAACCTATGTCATAATAGTACTATGATGGTGAAACAGGTAGGAAGAATGGCTGGACAGTTTGCTAAGCCAAGATCAGACCCATTCGAGGAAAGGGATGGTGTAAAATTGCCAAGTTACAGGGGAGACAATGTTAATGGAGATGCATTTGATGAAAAGTCAAGGACTCCTGATCCGCAGAGGTTGATCCGGGCGTATTGCCAATCTGCTGCCACGTTGAATCTCTTGAGGGCTTTTGCAACTGGAGGTTATGCTGCTATGCAGAGGGTGACTCAGTGGAACTTGGATTTCACCGAGAATAGTGAGCAGGGTGATAGGTATGTTCTTACATAGTTACATGATGTATCTATTTGCTTTATTTTATATTTAACTGTGATTATATTATGCTTTATCATCATCATCATTACCCCTGTACTAAAGCACATAGAGACTGTTTACGGATGACCCATAATGAAAATCGCGTCTTAGTTTTCGGATAATCCATAGTGAAAACTGCGTCAAAATTTGCATCGATGGACTGCTGCTTCATAACAAAGAAGCGCAGACAGTTTAGTGAGCCATTTTGCTTTGTTCTATCATATTCCCAAGTCAAAAAATAGTGAATCTTTGGCTCCATTGCAAATGATGGAAAATATGTTCTGCTTTATAAGGAAACAAATTTCTTTTTCTTGGTTATTCTTATAATAGCATTAAAATACAACTTATGGGCAAACATATGACCTACATGGTCACTCCAAAAATATCAGTCATTAGTCTCATTACATAGTAAAATTAAACAAAACTATGGTCACTATGCTCATTGCGGAAATGCAACCATAATCCCCATGGTGGAGGAGTCATATTTTTGTTCATTATTCTTATTTTAGTCATATTTTTCATTATTTCTTCTCTTCTTCCCACCAAACTTTGTCAATTTTCCTAATTTTGGCACTTTCCTTTTAGTAAAACAAGTTTGTGTTTAAAGTTATTTATATATCCTCTGCCCAAACCTTAACCAAACATTTTTTATTTTCTTATTGTATGTGCCAGTCTAATTTAGCTAAGTCTAGTATTTTTCTTTCTTGTTCTGGCTGAATCAGGTATCGTGAACTAGCTCATAGAGTTGATGAAGCCCTTGGTTTCATGGCTGCTGCTGGTCTTACGATGGACCATCCTATTATGAAAACTACTGAGTTTTGGACGTCTCACGAGTGCTTGCACTTGCCATATGAGCAGTCACTTACCAGACTGGATTCAACATCTGGTCTGTACTATGACTGCTCAGCCCACTTTATTTGGGCTGGAGAACGAACCAGACAACCGGATGGGGCTCATGTTGAGTTCTTGAGAGGAGTTGCTAACCCCCTAGGGATTAAGGTGAATATACTGCTCTATGATTGTTAAGCTGGAGTTTCTTCCATTTTTTAGCATATGGCTCTATTGTTTGCCCATTACGCTCAGTATTTCTATTTAACTGTCTACATTGATCGAACCACACATTTTAAGATTTTTTTTGGGATAATAAAATGACCGTACTTCTTAAGGATAGTGACATGCTCTGTGTGAGGGTTAGTGAAGGATGGGAATGGTTAAGTATTTCAAACTTATACTCAAATTATCTCATCCTCATTTATTCATTTGGAGTAAATTTGAGATGAGATAACATTACCACTCCTGAACCCTTCTCTAACTTCTTCCTACATACATCATTATACAACTTGTAAATGTTATATAAAAAAGGTCCTCATTAAAAGCCAGTCTATCTTTATAGTAAATAAATAAGAAGGGTAAATTGAAATAAACTGTGATGTGCATGGATTTCATAAATGGTAGGAACACGGACAACGGTCAACCAAGAGTGGTAATAGGAAAAGAGGGACTAACCCGCACGGGTAGCTCAGTTGGTCGAGTGGTGGGAAAATTGGACCAAGTGACCAAGGTTTGAAACCCGCAGCGGCCGTGTGGAGGTTACAGAACCTGAAATAAGGTTGGACCTCTGGTGCGCACGTGTATAAGGCCTACCGCCGCTTTGCTGACTGATTCATCGTGATTAACCTCCCCACCATCCTGTCGGGTCGGGGTGGGGGGGCCTTGGGGTTGGGCATTCAACCTTTTTGGACCAAGGAAAAGAGGGACTACATGAAACTCATTGTAGAAATCACTATGTACTTAACACATTGTTACCATGCAGGTGAGTGACAAGATGAATCCAGATGATTTGGTCAGGCTCATTGAGATCTTGAATCCAAAGAACAAGCCAGGGAGGATCACGATAATCACTAGAATGGGAGCAGAGAACATGAGGGTCAAGCTTCCTAATTTGATCAGGGCAGTCAGAAGGGCAGGGCAAATTGTTACGTGGGTATCAGATCCTATGCATGGAAATACTATTAAGGCTCCTTGTGGTCTGAAAACTCGGCCTTTTGATTCCATCCGGGTAAATACTCACATTCCTATTTTAAGGTCCTTCATGGTTCATGTGGTGATATCCTTATTAATTATTAAAACATACCAGCCTTCATTTAGAAAATTGAAATACCTTGTGATAATTTAATTCTTCAGTAAGCAATGTGATAGTTGTGTCGTTCATACTTTAATTTCTAATAATCAGTTAAGGTTCATATACCTTCCAAATAAGATAATCAAAGAAATGTATGCCACATTTTGATTCATCATCAGTAGCAAAATTGAGTTCGGCCTTTGGCCTCCTGATCTCATTTTGTACTCTTTTTCGTTAATCTATGGCGTACTCGATTTGTTGAGTAGTCAAATCTTTTCTTTTTGAGGTGCACTTGCTAGATTAATGATATTAAATAACTTGGGAGAAACTAATAGGTAGTAGGAAGAAATATAAGATTACTAGCAGCCCATTTATGAGTGAATTTGGTTGAAATGGCCTACGTTACAGAAACATTATAAAAAGTTAAAGAGGGTAATACCTTTTAACAAGGTCAGAACTAAGAAGTGTTATTTTGGTCCTCCTAAAAAAGTTCCTTCTGCACTACACACTTTATCAAATCATCCAACTGAGTGTTCAGTAATTGTTTGTCAATGAAGTTGATAAGAAGAAATAAGAGGTCACCAAACAGGCACTGATTTTTTTTAGTTGTTTTTATTTATCATTTGGGATGTGCAAAGAAAAATGAGATTGTATTGTTAAATTCTCAAGGTCGTTGGTTCAATATCATAAAAAGGGTTGTTGGTTCAACCGTAAATAGATTATTATCACTGTGAGTTTGTGCTAGCCAAAGTGTTTCTTTCATTAACATGTTTTTCTTAGTTTTTTTCCAGATGGTTTTGGCAGCTTTTTCTTTCAATTTTCTTCCGTTGGTGGTTTCCACAAGTTTCACTACTACGCCTGTCATAATTTATCTCTACATTTGACTTTCAATTGTTTTAAAAGATGTGAAAAACTCTATAGTTGAGAATTGTTTCAATGAGATTAAAAGTATAGGAAATTATTGAGGAATGGACAAAAAAATGAAGATTAATTATTGTTGAAGATGGAAAATGTTGCACTTTTAATCTTCTAGGTTGTGTCTTATTAAACATTACATCTCAAAGTGTCAGTTTGTGCAATCAGGCTGAAGTGAGAGCATTCTTTGACGTGCACGAGCAAGAAGGAAGCCATCCTGGAGGGGTGCACTTAGAAATGACCGGCCAAAATGTGACGGAGTGCATCGGTGGATCTCAAACTGTGACCTTTGATGACCTTAGCTCACGTTACCACACCCATTGTGATCCCAGACTGAATGCCTCCCAATCCCTTGAGCTTGCTTTCATTATTGCTGAACGCTTAAGAAAGAGGAGAATTGGATCTCAAAGCTTATCCTTACTGTAGGGGGGTTGGTTATGGCATTTTGTTTCTTATGCCACTTTCTTTTTCTGTTATTCCACTTCTTTTATCGTGGTAAAGACTGTTACAAACTCAATTACAATGCATATCAGAAAAACGTGACAGTATGATGTATGTGAGTTCCAGAGCTAAATTAGACAATGAATAAAGTGAAATAAGTATTTCCAATTAACTAGAGTATATTCGGGTGATTTTTGTCCTGCTTTCTCTTATATTTGACCAGGGTTGGGCCCGGTCCGGTACGAGATTGGGTGGGCCTAGGTTTTTGGGGTGTAGGCCCAATGATGGCCCGGGTTTGTACCGGGCCCGGGTCGGGTCAAGTTTTTTTGTTTAATTTGTTTAAAATGGAAAAAAGGCCTGGGCCAGTCCACCTTTTCAGCAGCCTGAAGTCTGTCCATAATACCCTAGGTTCGGGCCCCAGTCCCGGTCCTGGGCCTGGTACTGGGCCGACTGAGTCCATGCCTATTTGACTTCATTCCTCTTCCATAATGACCATAAAAGATGCACTCTGGCCTGGAGTCTAGGCATAAATTACACCTATCTTTTACTGTTTGGTTATTGCTTCTAGCATGAGTTTGCACAAGACCCGCCTAAGCGAAAATATGCCTTACTGCTGGTTTGTTTTTGTAATACTACGTACTCGGTATTCCGTATTAAATTTGTGAAGTGTCAAGTGTGAATGAGTTGAGTCATACAAAAATGCTTCAATATGACCCTCATTTGGGGATGGATTGAAATGAAAAAATGAGATGAATATATTCCAGACCGAGGAAAGGATAAAGTCATGTAGGTTTATTTAATGAAGATTACAAGCGTGATTATGGTTGGACTCGGGCCGGATTGGGTCAGGCCCGGGCCGGCGGTCCTATATAGCTGGATCCGGGACTGGCCCGGGTAGCCACCGGGTCCGGGCCGGGCCGGGCCTCGGGTTTGGTTATTTTATTTTATTTTTTTGCTTAGCTACCCATCCCTGACCCCCCCCCCCCCTCACCCCCACCCCCCAAACCCCTACTAAACATCAAGCCCAACCCGGTGGAGCTCAAACAAATGAAAAAAACAAAAAAAATGGCCCGAATCGGGCCCGATCCCGGCTGGGTCGGGCCTTGTTATGGGTGACCCGAGCCCGGACCGGAAACCCACCGGATCGGGCCTACCCGGACCGGTACTGACCGGGTCGGGCCTACCCGGACCGGTACTGACCGGGCCGGAACAGTACCGGTCCCGGGCCGGTTCCGGGTCGGGCCACCCGGCCCGAGTCCAACCATAAGCGTGATGGAAAACACAAAATTTGTTTAGTTGTCATATTTGATAGACTAGTGATAAAAGTAAGTCTTGCTTGGGCTACCCATGTGGTTCAAATGAGTCAATCATTTAAATGAGTTGCTGCACTTAAATGAATTGACTCATTTGAGCCACACAATAGGGGGTAAAAATGGGATACCTATAGTATTTTTTTAAAAGTAATATGCTATTATGTTGCATCTAATTTGCTTCTTAATATTGAAGTACGTTCAAATTGAATTAAACAGTACTCATATTTTAGAAAAACCTCGATAGTATTTCATAATGATATCATAATGTTGCTTGTGGATTTATGAATCTAGGGTGAGCTAGGAGAATTGGTAAATATATTGAAAATTTTATTAATTTTGATGAAAGCCAATTTGATGAAAAATGAGAGGCTTATATGTGGGTCTGCATGGATACAAGGAAACCCTGAAAAAGGAACAACCTTGAAAAAAGAGGGAATTGGCCATTGGGTGGACTTCAAGTATGAAAAACTCTCAAATTTTTGCTTTATCTGCAAGATTATTGGTCATTCTGATAAGTTTTCCTGAGTAGTGTACAAGGGAGATAACATTATGTTGGATAAAATTTATGGAGTTCATCTTAGAATTGGAGTGTAATAAGTGACTGGTCGAAGGATCCTCAAGTACATGTATGGGAGTATTGCAGAAGAGTGATAGCCAGAGCACAGGAGGTCAGGGCTGGAAAAGGCTACTACGAGGACTGGAACTAGCTCTACTAAGGAAGGGAACTCTGTGAGCTCGCAGGAGATGCCGGGAGAGCAAGAACGCATGAGGATATGAGAGGAGAAAGAACGGGAGGATCCAACTGGAGAGAGCATGGCGCTTGACAAGCCAAAAAACGGAGAGGAGGCAAGTCACGATCAGTAGACCCGCCGGTATGTCTGATGATGCTTGATAGGCCCGTTGCTTGGTTGGTGGCGGCACACTTAAAGATGGAGAAGGATATTTCTATTATTGCTACTTTAGTTGTTATTTTCTTTAATCGGACTATTTACTTTTATGTTGTTTTGATTTTTGGTTGTAAGACTCTTGCATTAGGATTGAGTGATGGAAGATCTACTTCAACCGTCTTTGGCTCATTTAAGTCTATTATAGGATCAACGAGTTATATTGCTTTTTTGAAGATGATTTTAACCCCTTTCTGAATGCTAATGTTGTGATACCAACGTAAGTCCCTCTCTTCCAAAAATAATGATATCTGTAATGTTTTTAATAATGTATTCTTAATCAAATCCAGTTCATTGTCATCTAATTTGAAAGTGATTTAATGCACCAAATCCCTTCATGAAATATAAATTTAATACATGCACAAACCTCCCTGCATCAAATTTAATAATGTGATTTAATACACATTAGTCCATGTGATTTAAAAAAAGCATCAAACCTTCAATGTGTTATGATTATTCATGCACAAAATCCCTTCTATAAGCAAATTTAATTGCCAAAAAATGAAAAATGATTAGTTGTTTTGTATAATTTAGAATTTTTTACAAAGTTATTTACATATTCAATCATATTATTAAGAGAAGTGATTTCAAAATTGTAAAGTTTGTTCTTGAAGGGGTTTTGAGCATGAATAATTATAACACAGAAGGACTTGACACATTTTTTAAATCACATGAAACTAATGCGCTTAATTTATATTTTCATGAGGGGTTTGGTGTATTAAATCCAATTTGGAAGTATCATAAATTCATAATCATGTAAAGAAAATGTTGATAGGTAATCATCAATCTAAGTTCTTTTTTTTTTTTGACAAACATCGATCTTAGTTCATGCCATTATTATAGGTAATCTTCAATCTTCAATCCAACTTGATCCTTTCGTCCATCCATTCCCAATCGTCGCACACACTTGAACTCTTGCAAGTTAAAATTTAGACCGCCGTAAAGGATCAAGTTCACTATATCTTCGCCCTTCAGATCAATTTGTTTTGACGGACATTTCTACTACAGCTCAAACAAAACATCACATTCCGCCTCCAAATTATTAAAATAATGTTTTCTGCTACCAAACAACTTCTCTCTTTGAATGCAAGGACATCAAATCTCAACCCCCTCCACCTTTTGTGGATATTTTGTATTTCCTTGAGTTAATATGATGGCAACATAATTCAGATGATTAAGCGAGGCACGGTTCCGAGCCTCTCAAGTCTCAAATCTCTAGGTGATCTTCATACTTGTGCGATCTATGAGTTCCGCATCGATCAGAAAATCCTTGAGCGCAAGACCCGGTGCTAGACTTCAAAGCCAGATAACAGATTTAGATCCACGGAGAATGGAGATGTGTCCCAACTATTTCTTCTACAAATAATTCTGATGACCAACTAGCCTTGAGTCCTTGACCTCATCTTGCTACCTTTACCCTTGGTTCAATGGTATATAATGTTAAAAGGACAGTTCAGAAAATGAACGGGATTTGTCCCCAGGCTAACAAACAGAAACTGGGGAAAAAAAGTTGCGCAACTTGAGATTAGGGACAAAGGCTAAAAAGCTAAGAAAGCAAAGGGGTGGCCTAGACAAGTCCTTTTCCCCACTCTCGCGACTTGTAGGTGAGAGTCCAGTCAAGATATCATTTTATCATAAAGAAAAGCTATTTAAAAAAGAAGAAAAATAAAATCTGGCAAAAGAGCTCGTTACAGCACCAAAGAACAAAGCACCTTGGCTCCTTGATAGTGACTGGAGTGCTACTTTACAATGTACGAAACCCTGCTTTGAACATAAAGATAGAGCAATCATTTCCCCAACACAATAAACCTTTTTCTTTGATCAACCTTTCACTCAATTCCAAAATTAACAGCACCTGAACAGGAAATTCAAACTGCTGCATGACTTTATTTACAAAAAAGCAGAGATAACCACTGATTATGCTACCTATGAACTAGCTTATCTCCTAATAAGATACGTAGTAACTACTCTGTATTAAAAAATGAGAGTAAGGTTGAAGGGTCTTCAATACCAGAAATTGTCCATAGCGTATGAGACACGAAAAACCCTTGTGAAGTAACGTTTCCGCGTCCCGGAAACATGTAAGAAACCCCCTACAAAGGCTTACTTACAGCTATTTTTTATTAAAAGGTGGAGTGTTTCGTGTGCATGATAAGTTACCAACTCTGGGGTTAGTTGAAAGGAAATGATTGATCCCATGGGCTTGCCTAAATTGGTTGATAAAGTATGCAAAAAGGGCAGATCAGGTTCTATTCCTCCAAATTATGGTAAGGGCAGCACAGCCCAGACCTCACACTATCAACCAAGTCGTGATTGTAGATCAATTAACCCTTTCACCAAACCGTCCGGCCAGTTCCAGGGCCTCGGGGATGGTGCATCTTTTCCTTAACAATTAAAAATTGCGAAAGTGCTACAGGTATTGTAGTCACTACTTCGAACGTAACTTCAAGCTCAGAGTCCCAGAAGGGCAGTCGATTCCTGGACGCATAGCTGAAAAATCTCACCTTAACCTTAAGCTCCTATATTTGTTAAAACTCTTTAACTTCTCCAGCAAAAATAATGGTTAAAGCTCAGGACAATGGTATTACATGGTGAATTCAAATCCAAGCCAGGCGCATACCCTTAAGACAAGTTGATCCTGAAAACAATTATTTCAAAAGAGAAAAGCAAGCAAAAGACATCTGAATATACTCATCTGGAAATAAAGTCACAAAAAAAGCATCAGCATTGGGTTTCCCCAAAGTATATAATTTATCCATTATCATCATCTTAGTACTCATTGTGTTCCTCAGCAGACATTCTAATCCTAACTATGGTGGGGTTGGTTCCATGAATAATAAAAAATGAAAAGTAGAATCTCAAAGTAATGAAATGTTCAAACTCAGGATAGAAGCGAAAAACGTGATAAAATTATCCTGAAATAAATAAATTGAGTATGGGAATTCAGCCAATCATACAAATAGGGGAAAACACTACCAAAAATAAGTATTGAGCAAAAAAAAAAGATGCTGAGATTCATCAGAGGGTATAATAATTGATCTTTGAGTTCACAATTGGCCATAATCATTGCCAAGAGTTAGCCTTACACTTTGAACATACACTATAACTTATGTTAAGCAACCTGGCTTGATCTATATTTTAGCTGTTCACATCAGTTTCTCATAACTTCAATCTATTACAAATATGGTAATGACATAAACTAGATGTCAGCTCATCAGTTGTAAGGAATGTCCACCAGAAGAACCACACTTTTTTCTATATCCCAAATCCACAGCATTAACTTCTGAGAAGATGAGAGAAGTACCAGAAAATGCTTCTCTTCATTCCCATTAGCATGAATTTACACAGGATATCTATAAGGTCCCCAAACTTAAGATTTTCTCCTTGCGAAAAAAAAAAGATGTACATTTTCCAACCTAGTGCTACAGGCAGTATGTTTCGACAAAGATAACCTTGTTTTTAAGTTCCTAAAGATCTCACCTTCTGTTTGGACCGTAATTCTTCAAATACCCTTCCAGGTTGGGTTACGAGCAGGACCAGTCGGTGACAGGGGGAGCTGTGGGAACCCTAGTTGACCTGTGGGTGAAAGCAATAGATTTGGGGATAGCAACGCACAGGGCGATCTTGGCGAGGGAAGGCAGCTAAAGGGCAGAGGAGAAGATGGCATAGCCGGATATGGTGGTAAGAATGAGGCGGATGAGGACGCGGTTGGTGGCCGGATGGTTTGTTGGTGCGGAGCAAAAAGTGGATGATGATGGTGCGGAGGGGGAGGAGCGAGGCCGTTCCACCGCGGCGAAGCAAGAGGAGCATGTGGGGGGTGCCCAGATGAGAACCGCTTAGAGTTGGAGTCAGCAGCTGCTCCGGCGAAGGAGTTCTGGAGGAACCTCATATAGGCAGAGATCGGTGACTCTGCCGCCGCGTGCACCGCCGGAAACGGAGGCAGGGGGGAAAGGGGCTGCGGTTGCCCGGGCCGTTGCCCGCCGCTTTGCCCCTGATGGTTCGGAATCAGCGGGGCCGGACGGTTGCCAATTTGTGCCAGCGGCGGAGGACGAATCCTCTGTAACCTCGAACTCTGCGGTTTGGGATGCTGAATGGGCGGGGGAGTGGACATCCGCTCGTGGGCCGGAGATCCGGTGAGTTTCTGGACCACATCGCGAAAATCGCTCTTGTTGATGTTATATACCGGCGGCTGCTGCTGGGGCGGCGCCGGGTGCTGTTGCTGCAGCAGAATATGAGAAGCCGCCGCCGCCGCCGCCGCCGCAGGCTGCGATTGCTGCTGGTCCTGGATGATATCAAACTGAGAACTTTGAAGGCCGCGATTCTCATAAACAGGGGGCTTCCGGACAGGCTTGGAGATCTTATGTGAAATCTTATTGAGATGCTTCAGATACTCAGCAGTTGAAGAGGAACCGCCACCAACATCGCCAGATGAATCAGACCCTTTGTTCATATTCATTTGCCTCTAAGATAACCAATTTCCCTCCACCCTCTCTCTCTCTCTGTAAGAATGAAAACGGAGCTTCTACCGGCGATATATAGATATGTACCAAATATATATATACAGTGAGGGTCAAAGGAGTATACGTATGCGATGCGGGAGGGGCCAAAGCGGTGACCACTGACTGACTATTTACAACAAAACAACAATGCAGACATTAAGGGCTCTTGTACTCAAATCACTATTGTCACAAACCTTTTTTTTTTCATTATTGTCCGGAAAAAAGAAAATTCAATGTTACACTTTATTTTACTAGTAGTAGGAAAAAAGCAAAGTCCTCTAAATTTTTATCAAACCTATGATGTCATAATCATAAGAGGTATTTCTAATGAATGACATATTTAGAAAATTTTAGATATGGATTCAAATAGAAAAAGGTGGATGAATGGGTGTTTGGATCTATTTCTCCAAACTCTTTCTGGTCTTTCAGAAAGTAGAAGCACATATTAGAGTGTTTGGATGAAAGTGTAGATATTAGAGATTTAGGTCTTGTTTGGTTCAAAGGAGAGGAGGGAAGGGAAGGGGAGAGTCAAGGAGAGAAGAGAAGGGAAGGGAAGGGAAGGGGAAGGAATGATTTTGATAAAAATTTGTGTTTGGTTGGAGGAAATAGGAGGAAAGATTTAATGAAAATATTTTCGCAATTTACTTTTATTTGATAGTTTACTTAAAAAAAATAGATATATGTCTAACTATTGTGAATATTACTCCTATGGTCATGAGTCATGAATATACATGTCTAACTTTTCAGTTTGTAATTTTTTAATTTTTTATTTTTATTTTTAAAATTTTGAATTTATAATTTTTAATTTTTTTAATTTTTAAAATTTTTAATTTTTTAATTTTTTATTTTTTTAATCTTGAAATTTTTAAATTTTTTAAATTTTTAATTTTTCAAAACTTTTTTTTTACATTTTTATATTATAACGTTTTGTTCATTCACGTAGGAGATGAATAGTTTGTGGTTATCAACATGTTTCCTCCGAAATACCCCGATTTGGGGGGTTTAGAATGGGAGGAAGTGGAGGATTTTGAAAGTCTTCCACTTTCCTTCCCTTCCTCCTATTTCCTTCGACCAAACACACACAAATCCTCCACTTTCCTCCCTAGGGGTGGGCATAAACCCGAACCGGTACCGAACCGTCCCGTAATGGTACCGAACTGAATACCGGGTATTTAAACGATTCTATAGATTTTTATCTCGTACCGAAACTGTACCATTTGAAACGGGTACGGGTCCGGTCCTAGATTTTGAGAACCGAAAAATACCGGACCGAACCGTTCGTAAATAATGCATTTCAATTTTTTTATATTTTTTCTATATGAATAGATCTAGACCAACAATTTTATACCCCAAGTATGTATTCATGTGTCCCTAAGATATCTAAAATGTGTTTTATATATATATTGTTAGTTTTTTTTATAGATAATTTATGTTATATTTTGGTATGTATTGAAAGAATATAAAAATTTTAGAAATCATTAATGATTATTTATTTCTAGTAATTTAGTGTACATGATTTTTTGTTGTATCATGTTTGTGCATTGTTTACAACTTAATTAATATGGTTTAAATCTTAGCTCTCAAGGTTCAACTATAAATTAAATTAGAACTACGGAGTAATATTTAACTTAGAACGAAGAAGAAGAATGTTGAAGATTTCTATTATATTCAACAATTTGATGATATTCGTTTTTATATTTTCACATGAACTTAGTAAATTAAAAATTAAATTTATCTCGTGTGTCATCGTTTTGCTATACTTTTTCTTAGTTGTGTTGCACTATTTGTGTATTTGTGAATTTTAGTACCATGTATGCAATTTCTTGTATTTATTTCAAGATTTCATGTGAGTTGGTTGGTGTGATGATATCTACTAATTGCAAGATTTGTTCAAAAAATTTAGCATGTGTTTGGGATTGTACGGTACCATTTTGTACCGCTCTGAAACGACATGGTACCGAACGGTTCTATCCTTGGAACCGGACCGTACCGAACCGTTAAAAACCTCACGGATACATTACGGGTTTTATCAATTTACCGGACCGTTCCGGACCGCGCCCACCCCTATTCCTCCCCTCCCCTCTAAAACCCTCCAACCAAACACGGCCTTAGAGTGTTTGGATGAAAGTGCATATATACTTCTACATACTCTAAATTGCTAATAGAAACGATTTTTGAGAAGATGAGGGAGGCGATTCTTGAAAAACTAATTCTGATATTGTTTCTACTCTTGAAAAAGAAGCACAAGCAAAATTAATTTGAAACACACATCTCTAAAAATTGAAGGTAGGGGTCCAAACCATCTCGAACTCATTGAGAGTGAAGTTGTCTACTACCTAGTTAACACACATTGTTTTCATTTTTAAATCTTTAAAATTCATACAATAAATTTAGAACAGTTATTTGTGTACAAAAATATACTTCTTATTTGATCTCTTCCCTGTGTGTATATATATATATATATATATATATATATATATATATATATATATATATATATATATATATATATATATATATATATATATATATATATATATATATATATATATATATATATATATATATATATATATATATTAAATGTGATTAGTTGGGGGTTGAAGACGCGATTGCTGACGTTATACCCTTTGAATACGCTCTGTTTGTATTACATTTTCAACATGTTAGTTTTTGTCGGATAAGATTTGAAATTGAAAATTTCTACTTGTGAAGGTATCAAAACACGTGACAAATATGTATTCATATTAACTTTTAAAGTAAAATGGATGATCAGTATAGATATCACTTCTACATTTATATTATGAAAATATAATCTTTTAAAAAGCCTCTAGATTTGTATAAATTTATTTCCTCCATCTTTCACCACTACTTGTGGGGGGAGGGGTCACAAAATTCTTCTCTAAATCACTAGCAAAAAGTCTTCAACATTTTTTGGCATTGTCTACTATTACGTGAGAGACAGTGTCACCGCGAGTTACATATTAAAAGTACTGGTGGCATGTTAAACGTGACTGAAAGAGTATATGGGCCACTAACGGTAGATCACTGGGGTTTCAAATCCCATTAAATACAAAAAAAATTCTATCTACTCGTAGCTCTCCCTTTTCTGTATAATACCGTTAGTGGTTTATCGGGAAGCTATCATTTGATGATCTCGTTAAGAGCAAGAACAATCAAGTTAGTACGCTTGTCGCTTTCAGACACTACTAACACCTCTGAGATGGGAAAAACTAGATCAAACAAGAACACTACAGCTAATGCCCTTCAAGATCTGCGGGTCCAGCAAGAGAAATCAGATGACGCAACGGCCATGAAGGCGACCGAGGGGGCTGAATTCCATGACACAATCAACCCCGCGGCCGACCTCCACGATCAAATCAACATTGACGCCCGTATCACAATTGGGAAAAACACAAGGAAAGGAATGAGACCAATGTCGCTCAACAAGCCACGGCTTCACCGAAAGTTAGATATCACCTCAAAGTCACTCAGAAAGTATAACAACAAACATTCAAGAAGAAAGAAAAAATGAATAAGTACAAAAAATGCAAAAAAGACTGAGGCAAACAGAAAAGTTCCCATTAATTGATGAAATAATTACATTGGTGGGCACTTCAGACAAATACACAAATTCTAGAGGGGAAGCAAAAAAGCATCGTGTCATTGCGACTCCTTCCTCAGGTCGGCATCCAAAGCATCCAGGATGCCATCGGGCTCAATATCCTTGCCCCTGATGCTCTTGTGCCCTTGTCTCCGGGGATCTCCTCATCATCATTGAAATGCATGACGAGATCCTGCCTCTCGGCTAAGGGTTTCTTCGCCTCCTTGATGTGAGTTTTCTCGCACTTAAAATAGATTGTAGTAAAGGGTGTAAGTACGAGTATCATCTCCACAGGGACGGACAAAAGGGAATTAAGAATTAATTAAATTCAGCGATTAAAAAGAAATAAAATAAAATAAATTGTGCGAGATTTGATTGATTGGAAAATTAACTTGCAATTAAATGAATACTAAAGCTAAGGGATTCTTTCTAATTAACGACGAAGGGAATATGGATTGATTCCGGAGTAACCAGATTTCAGGCATATGAGGTATAATTACATGAAATTAATTTAATTGAGCCTAGCTAGTCATTACTAAGTTCTTACCGCTCTCGCGGCGTAGTGTACAATAATTTAGGGGACCAGGCTGATCACTCATGCGACAGGATCCCAAATAATTGCCAAAACGAGCGAGCTTACGGCCCTTTAATCGCTATTAATCTCTTAGCAAATGATTAAGTGTGTGTGAATGTGCCCTAGAGGAAATTAGATCTCTCTTGACTTATTCTACAAGCAATTGTAATTCTAGCGCGCGTTCCAGGTTACAAAAGATAGCAGTTAAATTATTCAAACACAAATTAAACGACATTCATGCAATTAATCGCAACAGGGATCATCTGAATTCATCGTCTGTTTTCACGTTCTTCCTCTCACATTCTCGCAACGGTGTCTTCAAATGATTTGTAGAAATTGACGTTGGATTTCATATGGGACTTGAAGAGTGTCCTTTGGATGCTTCTACAAAGAGATATGCTTGAACGATTGACAGAAGGTCATCCTGATCATCGTTTTCAAGCTCTATTCATCTTCTTTTGATCTCGTAGCCAATCCTAGAGCTCTTTTGTCATCAAATATTCATTGTGAACCTCCCGATGACCTCCAAATCTCTCAATTCACTCTCGAATGCTTCTCAAATCGTCCTGATTGCTTCTCAAGCGCAGGTGCTGAACTCAAATTCCCTGATTTTGACTCGAAAGACATATAACTCGAACCAACGTCTCGTAACATAACTTGAGCTAAAATTGAGACTTATGACGCCTTAAAGCTATAAAAACTATCAAAATACGACCCCAACATGCATCAAATGCGCATTGTAATACGCTCTTATCAGATCCCCCCACACTTAAGCTTTTGCTTGTCCTCAAGCAAACTGAACAACGGGACTTACAATAATCACCACACGAAATTAAAATCATGAGCATGCACATGTAGTTACAGGGATACTCACAGAACAGACATATTGAATCAAGAAAATTCTTCCCTAAACTACATCTTTGTACTTTAGCTAACTTA